AAGCTAGAGGCTAGAAAAGGTTAAAAAAGGGGGGGTACCTAGCAAGCATACCTATTAATAGGTATACTTTGCTAGGTAGTGTTAATAACTTAGCTAATACTAGGTAGAATAAGCTAATTCTTTTTTTATTAGAAGGCGCAATACTAGGCGCTTCTATTAAATAATAGATTATGTAAGCGTGTCTCTGCTAGTTAAGAAGCTATAAGCCAAAACGTAAAAAAGCATACCCTACCCATCCGCCAGCCTAGCTCCTGTGGATATAATGCCTATTATAAAGCTAGATTTGTTAAAGTTGTAGGTGTCTTTATCCTAGATACTATACTTAGCTTTAGTATTCTCTACTAGGCAAAACTAGTCTCCTATTACCTTAGGATCCTTACAATAGGCTCTCTTGTAGTTATACTTTTAATTAAACTTAACTCTAAGCTCTAGCTAAAATTTAACAAAGTTAGCAGCCTAGTTCTTGCCAATAGGGGTCTAGTGGCGCTTGGCAAGTAGAGAATTGGCTAACGTACCCCACGGGCGAGTCGGACACACGGGCGAGTCGGACACTTTTGCCAAGACCCTACCAAAACACCCTTACTACACCAATGCCTCTCCACAAACGCCAGTTAGACGCGTTAAAAGAAGCTTAGATACAGCTTGCGCTTAAGCTCTTAAACAAGACGCGACTCTCTCTCTACAGCGCGCTGCAGCTATCTATAGAGCTCCCCTACAGACACTAAGCGACCAACGCGCTGGACGACCTTCACAAGTTAATTCTATGCCTAAATTACAGAGCCTAACTAATACTAAGGAGCAGGTGATTGTTAATTATATACTTAAGCTAGACGCGCGAGGATTTTCCCCTCAGCTAGCAGCTGTGGCTGATATGGCCAATTCTTTGCGCGCTGAGCGCAGTCTAGGCCATATTAGCCTAAACTAGCCTAGTACGTTTGTTAAGCGCCAACTAGAGCTCAAAGTGAAGTTTAATTGCAAGTATGACTATAAGAGAGCCCTCTGCGAGGATCCTAAGATAATCTAGGGCTAGTTTAGCCTAGTAGCTAATATTAAAGCCAAGTATAGCATCCAGGATAACAACACGTATAACTTTAATAAGATAGGCTTTATAGTAGGCTAGATATCTACTAGAGCAGTTGTTATAGCTTTAGAGAGACAAGGACAGCTAAAGCAAGTCTAGCTAGGCAATTAGGAGTAGATAATAGTTATTAAGGGCATTAATGCTAAAGGGTAGGCTATTCTACCCTTTATTATCTTCTAGGGCTATAACTACCTCTTAAACTAGTACAAAGAGGATAATCTACCCTATAATTAGGTTATTAGGGTCTCTAAGAATAGCTAGACTACTAATAAACTTAGTCTTAACTAGTTAAAGCACTTTAAATTATATACAAAGGAGCGTACTATTAGCAGCTACTATCTACTAGTTATTAATAGTTATAAGAGCCACAACTTACTAGATTTCTAGGAATACTACTGTCAGATTCTCGTACTGTGAGCCAGAGTATGTGCTTAACGAGATCTTAGGTGGTATAATGATATATTGATGATCGTGGCGATGGTGTTTCTGCCGTCGCGTCGTGCTGGTTGCTACAGGATTGAAGTGGGGGGGAATTAGCGCTGTTCGCGGCCGCCGGTGTGCGGGCCAATCAGGAGTTGCCAGGTCTCGCTTAATCGACCTGGCAACTGCTGATTGGCTGCACGACAGGTCCCTGCTCGATTGCGCAGATCCGACCTCTCGCCGCTCGCTCTTATCTGACAACTACAAGGATAACAAGATTATTATTATATATATACCTCTGCACTTATTACATCTCCTGTAGCCACTTAATGTAGGCTGTTTTGCCCCTCTAAAGAAGGTGTATAGACACTAAGCTAAAGACCTTATATATAACTAGATTAACGTACTCTATCACCAAGCCGGTCATATCACTGAACTGGTCACTTAAAATCCCACCAAAAAACACAGAAACCATACCCCTGCATCTTAATAACTACTTAATGGAATCTTCTAAAAACTTTAGAATAGAGCTGCATCTATACTAATAAAACTATTTAAAAGTCTTAGACTAATAGCTAGTATAGATGTTGAGATAGCCTACAGCTACCCCTGTATTTCAGTATCTTCTAAACAACATCTGCAATATAGGGCTAACGTATTCCACAGGCGAGCGCCGCACACGGGCGAGCGCCGCACCCCACCAAACTTACGCACCTTATTTAACGTCTAACTTAACAACGTTATAATAATGTATGTATATATTAATA